TCTTTAATTTGTAAGTATGACAAAATGCATAAATTTCATGCAGAGCAATTAGAAGTCTACTGCATAAGTAGTGAAATAGAGAATGAATGTAAAAAATTACTTAGAGTCATTCTAGATATTTTTATTTTCTGACAGTTATGGTACTGATACTTATTTCATTACTTTATATATAAAGAAATTCTAAAAAAATTCCCATCAAGATGCTCTTTATGATTTATTTATATAAATACCACAAAAAAGCTCAAAGAAATCTTTATGCCTGAATAAGCAGAAATATATAAGTCAAGGTATCCCAAAAGTTTTGGGTATAACACATAACTAAAAGCCAAACCAAGTAAGGACTACACAGTGACATTGTGGAGATAGGAGGGATTAAAGGGTTACTTCATTCATGGTGAAAACTCTTGCTTAAAATCTTCATAAATAAGTGGTTTCACAATGAAGACTTCATAATGAAGTGTTCATACATATATCTTTATAAAATGCGCTACATTTCCAGAGGTATGGGTTTTATACACTAAAGCTTAAACACCTCAATGAAGTGGTTTGGGGAACTTTATTTTTAAAAGACTGAGCCTAAGAGCATGCACAACTTAGACCACAGCAGTCTCCTAAGTCATTCTGCCAAGTGTCTGAAACTTCATGCTCATTCACCCTTGGCTACCTAGGACCTCCTCGTGCTAGAGATGGCTGGAAGCACAGAAGGCAGCCATGGACCAGGGCTGAGTTCCTGGCCTCAGGAAGCTTTCATGCTAGTGGACAGCTGGGAAACATTGAGTATTTGCCACATACCCATCACCACTACCAGCGGTTTCAACGGATTAATCATCATACTAACACTATGAGTGAGGAACTTTTATCTTCTTCTTTTTACAGGTGAAGAGGCCAAAATACAGGTAAGCTAAGTAACCTGCCCAGCTCACCCTCTTCTGATTTTGTATTTGCCCCATTATTTCCACACAAATGAAACTGCATTCCACAGTCAGCTTCCACCTTTATTCCTTATCTATCTTAGACATCTTAAAAGAAAAAAAAAAAGTAAGCCAGTAAGTCATGGCTTAACAGAAGGCAGAATGGCATGATTAAAAGCATGAATTGATCAGTTACCCTGCTCATTGGGTATTTGACCTTTAATATCTACTTCATCTCAACAGACTTCACTTTCTTCCTCTGTGAAATGGAATAAAGATAAAACACCTATTATTCATGAAGTTATTGCAGGGATTAAATGAGATCATAAGACAAGGTTTTAGTAACTGGTGCAGAGTAAGCATTCAACAAATGTTGGCTATTGTTACTGTTCATTTAAGGATTATTTGTTATCTTTGAATGGAGACAGACACAGGCAGTCTATCTGGCCAATGTTTAACAGATAGTGCTAGGATTATAAATAATAATTAGTGAAAAACAATTCAGAGTATAAGATATTAATAGGCACTATCTTTGTATAGTATGGCCAGTATACTTTTTCTTATGTACTAAACCTTAAACACTTCAATGAGAAGGTATGGGTACTTTGCATTCATACTGTACTAGACTCTTTCGTGAAAGCTAACTGGTCTGATCTGAGGGTTTTCATTTCTCTCTGTATCACAGTGAAAGCCTAATATGCTATTATTTGGGAGATAAAAGCCATAGGAGCTTAGACAAAAGATTTCACTGAGATACGGTTTCAATGAAACATCATGTGACATAAAAAAGCACACAGAAACTGAAGGAGGCTGTGCTTGATCAAACTTATTACAGTTTTGAAAAAAAAAAAAAAGAGAGAGAGAGAGAGAGAGAGAGAAGTGAGGGAACCAAATGGAAAGATATGGAGAAAAAACTCCTAAATAACCAGTCCTCAAAATGACAGAGGCTTCATAATGAATGCAATAATACCAGCCACTATGCATGGCCTGCTGTCTCAGTGCGAGGCTCTGTGGTCTCTACATGCATTGCTTTATCCAATCCCCCTACAAGTCTAAGAAATCAGAAGCATTAAATTTTTGCAGCTACAGAAATTGGGGCAAAAAGCTAAAACAGGGGTAGTACTGGAGTAGTGGCTTAAATCACCATTTCGGATATCCATATCTCTTAAGAGAGTGCCTGGTTTAACTCCCAGCTACTCTGCTTCCAATCCAGCTTCCTATTCATTCACATCCTGAGAAGCAGCAGATGATGTCACACATGGAGTTCCTGGCTCCTGACTCCAACCTGGCCAGCACCAGCTGTTGCAGGCATTTGGAGAGTAAATCAGTGGATAGATCTCTTTGGGCTTGATTTTCAAATAAAATGAAAAATAAGTAAATAGAGTTTTAAAAGGTAGCAGATCTCGCCGGCGCCGCGGCTCACTAGGCTAATCCTCCACCTCGCGGTGCCGGCACACCGGGTTCTAGTCCCGGTCGGGGCGCCGGATTCTGTCCCGGTTGCCCCTCTTCCAGGCCAGCTCTCTGCTGTGGCCAGGGAGTGCAGTGGAGGATGGCCCATGCACCCCATGGGAGACCAGGAGAAGTACCTGGCTCCTGCCATCGGATCAGCGCGGTACGCCGGCCGCAGCACACTGGCCGCGGCGGCCATTGGAGGGTGAACCAACGGCAAAGGAAGACCTTTCTCTCTGTCTCTCTCTCTCACTGTCTACTCTGCCTGTCAAAAAAAAAAAAGAGGTAGCAGATCTCAGAGTCTAAGTGAACAGAGTTTTATCCTGCAGGAAAGCTATGCTAGATTCACAGAATAGATGATCCACTCATTTTCCTTCTCTTTCAATACCGCTCACCAGTCTCCCCTCCTTCAAACTGAAAACCTGTAATATAGCTTTCTCTGTTGGAAAAGACAAAAATCTTCAGCTTCTACTGCTCTAAATGATAGGCGTGCAGTTGGCCAAATCATTCATATACCTCCACACCCTACCTAGAGATCCCTGCCTCATAATCAAAGGTCATATCCTCTGAATAGTCCATTTGATCAGTACAAAGTAAGAGTACAAAGCTAAACAAACAATAAATTGCTAAATAAGAAGCCAGACTTAGCCTAAATGCACACATATTTTATACTGAAAAGTCGAGTTTCATACTATGAGATTGTCAAATGGAAACAACATTTTTTATGTGTGGCAAAATTTACCTACAATACAGCATAAACCATAGATGTATAATAATTAGTGTCATAAATGGAAGAAAATGCCATTATGGATTTACAAGGTTTTATGCTTAAGATTTTTCACAGGTGTCTAATTTTTTTTTTTTTGGTGAGATTTAGTAATACAGCTTTGCTATCAACTACTCTTAGAGTTAAATCCAGACTTGGGCTCTGCTATCTCCTTGCTGTTGACCTGAGAAGAGCTACCTGTTGTAGTGGTGGTTGAAGAATTAAATCAGATGACATATTCAAAGAGCTAAGCATGGTGCCTGGTACTTAGAAGTGTTCACTGAAACAATGAGTTATAATCTAATCTTGTAAGTACAATGCAAATTACTGCATGTCAATGAAAACCTTACCCACATGTATGTGGTAATATGCATAGCTACCTGTATTAGAACTTAGAAAAGATAGTAATTTAAATTAGGGTTCTCTACCAACAATTCATGGCTTGCTCCCAAATATGGCATTCTTGAGAATCAGTCTTTCCCAAATCAACAAAATCTAATTTGTGGAAGACCTTACATGTAAATTGCCACAAGTCCTAAGCCTTGGAAGATTCTATAACAAGAGAGTCAAGTAAAGGATTATTTTGACAACCATTAGGAATCTTCCAAATTATATCATATTCACAGTTACAATGAACTCATGAATACTGATCACAAAATTTCAAATCTACATTTTTGTCTCATCCTAAAGAACAGTATAGTGTTCTAGCCTATAACAGAAAGTAAAATATTTTATGCTTAGGTTTATAATTATATATTTTAAATATATTGATCAACAATCTATTGAAAGAAGCAATGAGTATATTTTTCTTTGTAGAACACGTATTTGGGTAGTAACAACAAATTAGGGTGTGAAGCACGTAAAAAATTAACATATCGCCACATGGACTAATATTAATTTTTTACAAAATTAAAATTCCACAGGGTCATAAACTTATTTTATAAAATGTTATAAATTATTTTTAGACCTCAAAGTGTGAAACACAGCCTGAATTTTAAGAGATTTCTCCTTTAAATATACTGAAAAATCTAGACTGCTATTGAATAAAGAGAATGTCTTTTAAAAAAAACAGGCTTTCTAAAATTTACATAATGTTGATAAATTTTTCTAACAAAGGTACTGGGCATCAAAAAGGAAAACCAACCACATGCTGAACTTTGTTTCTTCCAATTAAAAATTTTTAACTTTCAGAAGAAAAATGATCAAAATAGTAGTGAGATAAAATATAAGGATACTTACGGCATTTGAAAATGAGTGTTTCTGAAAATAAGTTTCTCTATTAAGTTTATTTTAAAGCTACTTGAAGTTTTATGATTTGATGCTTTGAATTTCATAAACCAAATGACCTAGTTTTCACATAATATTCATTAAAACTAAGCATTAAAAGGTAAAGTGCTCTTCAATACAAAATCCAGTTAGGATCTAGTTCTGCCGAAACAAAATTACCATGGAAAAAATATTGGATATATTTTGGAATTAACCTTGAAAAATGTCAAATATCTCTCTTGGTAATTTTACCTGAACTGATTTATTTTAAAACAACAAGAGCAACAAATTGCGACCAGCTTAAAGAGATAACAGCTTAGTGTCTTATTGTCCTTTGCTGATAGGAAAGTGTGTTCTTTTAATACTGTACTTTATAAAATATGCATTTTCTTCTGTGAAAGTACTTTTCTAGATTATTTTAATAGTTTAGTCTTAGGCTTCAGGAAAAAAAACATTTTTTTGTGAAATATTCTGTTACATGATAGAAGAAAAATTATTTGCATCTCCTTTAAATTATTCACAATACTTTGAGGCTTTCGTTCTCTCCAGTTAGTGCAATTTATTTTTCCATATGTCTCAGTAGCAAACAATGTTATTTAGACTCTAACCTGGCATGCTACCACCTCTGGCCCGCCCTTGAGCCCCTCCATTGCAAAGGTCTCCAGGTGCAGTTTGGGTAGCTGCAGGGTGAAGTCATTCCTACTTGCTGCAGTCCGTGACAGCGAGATCTGATCTCTGACCTAAAGGGAAAAAAACAGCATCAATGGTAATTCCCCTTCAGACACATTAACTGGGATGAACTGGGTCCCCTTGAGCCCACTGAGTGGACTTGCATTGATCGCTGGACCTGAAATCCATGAATAAATTTAGGACTAATTGATTTTTCGTTGCAAATAAATCTCTAATTCAGAGTGCTGGGGGAGAATGTTAAGAAGAAAAAGCATCCTCCTGCTTGAAATGAAGGAGGGGAAGAAGAGTCACTGGAGCTCTTCTGATCAAGAGATTTTTGAATTATTTTTTCACAGTTCCACCCTCAAAAGAAAAAGAAAGCAAAAAAAAAAAAAATTCTCACACACACACACACATACAAAACACCAAACAGCAATCTCCTAATTATTATCATTTTCTTAGCATTTTCTTAGCATGTTCAATTTAAATGATATTAACTGATACATATTGGAAAAAGATAACTATTAGGCACTAGTTGTTGAAAAGAAAACTTCAATAATATGTACACCAAAATAAAAACAAATATGCTCAACACAAAAGGATACTTAAAAATACATAAGAGGTTTGTTTGCCCTGTTCACGTTTCTAAGTTGCCAAATCTTATTAAATTTGAGTCATAATGATTAAATAAATATAAACCAACTTGGTCACACAACTTGTATATAAGAAAAGTGAAATAAAATCCGTAGTATTTATACTATGTTTTAAGTATTCAGAAAGGTAACAATACAAGCCCATCACAGACACGGGAGAAACACCAATTCTCTAGCCACTATGGACACAAATGCAGTTGATATCACACTGCCACCTTCTGGACAAATGAGAAAATATTCCCACAACTGTAGGATAAATAAAAGGAAACATTCAGAAATAGATATTTTTGGTTTTTTAATTCTCAAACTTAAGTAAAAGCCTTAAGAATTCATTCATAGTTTAGTTTGCATTTAATGTCAGTAAGCTCTCATTTTAAACACATATTTTAATGATCAGGAGTTTTCATAAATAGGCATACTTTTGAACTTTCATTATGCTTGAATAGGTTTTAAAAATTTAGCTCTCTGCTACCATGTATTTGATGTCATAAACTACCTTAAGGCCACAAGAAAAAATGGCCTTTATGGGGTAGCAAAGGCCGAGAACAGGGATAACTAAAGAAACAACATTAAATTGTGCAAATAAATATATTCTCTATGTCTAGTTTTATCTGAGCAAATTCAAATATGACTTGGCAATAATACAACATGGAAAACCTTGCCTTCAGTTTTGTATTATACTTAGCCAGATTGTAATATTGTTTGAGTCATTTTATTTTATGACTACATTAAAGAAATCAATACATCTCACAAAACTATCAAGCTCTATAGAGTTTCCTCAAATCAGCAAATACACACAAACATATCATGGCATCTTTAATTGTTCATGCCAAGCCACGGGTATAAAAACCCTTTTATTTCCGAAGTTGATCTGAAGACTTTTTTCTATCCATCAGTGAATGTCAAAGTACACTAAAACATAGATTATACTGCAATGTCTATGAGTGTGACTACATTGGAGTCCCAATTCAAAATGTATATTTATCTATAATAAATATTCTCTAATCTTCAATCTGGAGGAGAATGCTATTAAACTTAGCATAACAAAATAAATCATATTTTATAATTATATCTGCTTTAGGCTTTATATTTTATATGTATGGATATCTTCTCTCTTGCTTTTTTGTCACTGATGTGCACTCAGATAAAAGAAAACATTAATGTGGATTAAGGTACCGAGAATTTATCAACATCAAACCACTAGTGTTTTGCCTTCTACCCTTCTGAACCATAGTCAATAGATCTAAATATTTTACTGCACCCTGGCCAATTCATTGTTTGATGTTTAAAAACTCACCCAGAATCAAAGAAAATTTATTAAATTTGAGCCCCCAAATGAGATACTATTAGCTTTGAAAGTCAAGTTTAACTGCGATATTGATGATTCTCTTTTTTCTGTGACAAAATTCACCAGGGAAACCCTGGATGTCAAAGTACAAAAGCAGATTGCTAATACTGGCAAAGAGGGGGAAAGCATCAGCAGTGTAGGTATCATCCACAACACAGTCTGAGCACTGGGGGTCCTTCCCCCGATTAGTATCAGCACCATACTTCATGCATCAAGATTGACACACAATCTACAGTAAGCCACATGTCACAGTCTCGAAATAAACTATGAGCAACATTATGCTGGCTCATTTGGCATTTAAATCTGTGCTGCATTGTTATTTTAAGATTTTTCAGTAATTTGTTAAATTAAATAATTCTTTGTGTTAAATGGGAGGCCCTTCGAAATGCAGCTGTTTTTGCTGCGCCTAATGACTGAGATCATAATTACAATAGTATCTGAATAATACACGTGTTAATAGTTTCATCTAATTATAAATTCCCTGTTGACACTGTTGAGGAGGAACAGTGGTTTTTTTTTGTTTGTTTTGTTTTGTTTTTTTTTTGTCCTTACTATTTGTTGAATTCTTTACTTAGTGTAGGGTTAATCTTATGAGTATAAAGTAAATTGAAAGTAGATCATTCTAAAAATTAAGAGAGGGAATAAGAAAGGAAAGAGGAGAGAGGGTGGGGCATGGGCAGGAGGGAGGGTGGGGTGGGAAGTATCACTGTGCTCCTAAATCTGTATACATGAAGTACATGAAACTTGTATACCTTAAATAAAATAAATTAGCAAGTAAGTAAATTCTCTGTTAAATGTGCTATCCAGAAACAATGACTCATGACATACAGTAGAGACAATATCACAAATACTTCTATGAAAATTTTAAGAGTTTTTTGCACTTTTAAATTAAACTGACACTTGGACAGTAGGCTTCTAAAATGCTCTCCAAGTATTCCTAGAAAAGCTTTTAGAAAAGTCTTGAGAAATTACTGCATAGGAGTTATTTTAAATAAGTAAAGGGAATGAGAGCATGATAGAATATAAAACAGCAACATTAGGACAAGTAAAAATACAACAGTGCTGCAAACGAGTAGGCAGGAAAGATGACAAGAAACAGGAAAAAATCAGGCGTAAAAGGGAAGGGACCATTCAGAAGGAAAGTAGGGGGAAGGCTGAATTCAGAGTGAACAAGGAAGAAAGGGAAGAGAAGCACCACTCAACTGTACAGGACTCTCACCTCATGAGAAAAACAGAATGGGCATTCGGAGAACAATAACTCAAATATAAAAATAGGGATAATGTGAAATTCTTTAGGACATAATGCCCAGAGGATATAAAGTTATTCTTTTCAAGAATGAGAATCTAAAGCAAACTCCTTACTGTCAGAAAAATTTGAAATATTAGAATGCTAAGATAATTTCTTCTTAAAAGGAAATGAGAATTGAAAGCAAATTCCTCACCATTAAACAGTGTTTGAAGGAATATTAGAATAATACAATTGCTTTTTTCAAAAAGGAAAAGTAGGTTCACCTTTTAAAATACATATTTGAGAATTAATTAGAATTAAAACAGCCATCAGTCACCTTTCTGTGGATTAAATTATAATTTCAAATGAATTTTAAATTTTAATTTCAAAAGTCAGTCTTTGAATCTATTTACAATACATTATTACTTTTTTTTTTTTTTTTTTTTTTTTTGACAGGCAGAGTGGACAGTGAGAGAGAGACAGAGAGAAAAGTCTTCCTTTGCCGTTGGTTCACCCTCCCATGGCCACCGCGGCCGGCGCACCTCGCCGATTCAAAGGCAGGAGCCAGGTGCTTCTCCTGGTCTCCCATGGGGTGCAGGGCCCAAGCACTTGGGCCATCCTCCACTGCACTCCCTGGCCACAGCAAAGAGCTGGCCTGGAAGAGGGGCAACCAGGACAGAATCTGGTGCCCAGACCGAGACTAGAACCTGGTGTGCCGGCGCTGCAAGGCGGAAGATTAACCTATTGAGCCACGGTGCCGGCCTACTATACATTATTCAACCTATAAGTACAATCCTATACCTTTTTCACTCATATAAGTAGATGTAAGTGATAAAAACATATATTTTTCTACTTCAAAATGCTTAACAGCTCATTTTAACATACATTGAATTTTTTCATAAAATTTCACAAAGTATCAATTTCTAAACTGTATACATTTCATGACATTGTATCAAATTGTTCACTTTCATATTTTAAAAATAATAAAAATGCCTCCATTACTTCTACTCTGAAGTTGCGATTTTTAGAACAATTTATTTTCTCTTATATACTTTCAGAAAGCAGATTTCTAAAAGATAGCTCATAAAAAGCAAGAGAAATATAGCAAAAAATAAATGAAACTTTCCAAAAAGTAAAAACACAATCTTGAAACATACTTATCTCAAAATAAACATCTCTAAAGATACATTTTTATTTTAAAAATCCACTTTAAGTGACTCTTAGGACCCATGCTGCACTGTTCCTATTGCTCTGATTAGTCTTTACACACAAGCCACCAATCTGTTTTCTAATTTTCTGGACCATAACACACACAAAAAAGCTACTTCTGCTAGTTTTACCAACTATGAAATTAGTCATTTTTAGAGAAATCACTTTACTCTCAAAATGTGAACCTCTGTATTTTAGCATGCAGAGACACAGAGAAAAGCAACTGCTGTCGGGCCTTTACATCACACTCCTGATCTGCCTGAAATTGTATTTAGTTCAAGCTACAATGGCTTCCAATGCTTCAAAACAAACCTTTTTTCCCCCAGAGATATTCTAGTACAAATACAGACCTCTACAGTATTTCCTATAACTCCATTCTTATCATCCTGTACTCATGTTGTACCTTGCCTTCTGTTGTCCCACTCCTTACTGTGTACCTCCTTCTACTTCCACTGTTTGCTTATTACTTTCCCTTTTCCCATTTGTCACTATATGTAAACTAGAGCAGCCAACATATTATTTTTCAATGTACACATACAAAAGCAGTATGTAGTCAGCACACTATAGCCTGGGAACCAAATCCAGTCCAGTGCCTATTGCTATAAGTAGAGTTTTACTACATCGCATCCACAC